GATATCTCAAACAGTATTGCCCGAAGGTTTCATACAGTATGGTTTATATGGCAGCGATACGCTTTCCCGTGGGAAAGTATCGTTTGCAATATAAACAGCTTTAAGTTTTACCTCACAACTGGAGTCGATGTCATATTGGTGGGAAACGTAATCATACTTAAACGCCTTATAGGATAGCGTGAGTATTAGAACTATCCTGTAAAATATTTATATACTAGCGACTCACCATCGTTTTGTTCGGGTTCGTCTCCAGGTTGCTGCCCCATACAAACTTTCACCCCCATTTTCACCCCTATAAGGTATGATTTCCGAAATAAAAACTATACTATGTCCTTCCCAGAGTATCAAACTACATTTTTACCAAATTTCATCAAAATCATTTTAGTATTTTCAGAGCCTATTCGATACAAACGAACAAAAAAAAACAATTTTTCCTCTTTATAATATTAGACTAGATTAGACAAAGTATAAAATAATATTTTAAGTTTAAAAACAGCTAGAAAATCGATTTTGCTTTAATGATGCCCATTTAAACAGTCCAGTAACGGCTTATTAACTAGAAAAGTTCAGCGACAGCTTTTGAGGTGAAATTTTTAAGATTTTTATTGCAACTCTTTACTCGAGTTAAAGACGGGAAATATATACATACATATATATTATGTAAATTGATATATATATATATATATATATATATATATATATATATATATATATATATACTATATTTGGTCGATTTGGGTTGTATGCTTACATAATATCGTGATGTCACAAAGCGGATGTTGACATGCTAGTGATGCTCGAAAACACATAAAAAGGAAGCTAATGTGCTTTTTTCTACGATGTCTATGTTTTCTATTCTACCTATAGTTACTTTTTAACACGGTATTTAAATGGAATACGATAGCACTGTCGATAACACGTTTGACTCAATTTGTCGTGATCCTACTTGCTGTGCCAGCGGTCGTGGGTTCCAGTCCCGCCGGGGAAATCAGTTGTGTGATGAGCACGAATGTTTGTACTCCAGTCATGGGTGTTTATATTTATAATATGTTACATACATAACATTTAAAGTTATATATGTGTAGTGTATCAACTATCTGGTATCCATAACACAAGCTTCATAGCTTGCCATGGAACTAGATGGCGCTGTGTATTAAATATTAATGTCCAAAAAAACTCTATTAAAAGTTTCTCTATATATTTAGCCTTTATTAACGTCCCACTGCTGGGGGTGGGCGTCCGTTCAATACGAGAGGGATCAGGCCATAGTCCACCACGCTGGCCAAGTGCGGGTTGGCGGACTTCGTATACTACACACCTAAAATCATGGGGCATTACATATTTACTCAGGTTACACTACGCCCCACGATTTTATTTTTGAGTCTGATCAATGCTAGACTGATGAAGAGAGTGGTGTGATGACTTGTACCTAATTATTTTTTTAGCTTTTAGTACATTATCTACATCTTATTATTTTTTACATTATTTATTAAGGCTATACATATATAGACTTATTAATTCACTAATTAAGGGATGATTTCCGGGATAAGCAGTATCCTTTGTCAGGGTCTCAAACTATCTTCTTACCAAATTTCATCTAAATCGGTTCAGTAGATCCAGAGATTACCTCCTACAACGTCACAAACTCACAAACTTTACCTCTTTATAATATTAGTATACATTACTATAATTGGTTAGATTTAAAGTCACATATAGAGAGAAAATGAGAGATATATAATTAGAGATAGAAAGAGAGAGAGAGAGAGAGTTACTAAGAACCTTATAGTATACAAAATTACTGCGTTTCCAAGAAATAACTATTTTTATAGCTCTATGTACCCATTATGAATGCAGTATAATTACATACTTCCCTTCATTTTTGAATTATTAATATTCACATCAATAAACAATAAGCATGTTTTTCATCATTATGACTCTTATTTATATACAATAATTTATATTATAATAGATCTATTAGAAATCATTAATAACATAAATATATTATAGTTTAAAAAAAATCTTTTGCTAATCTGTATAAAGCCTGCCAATATAAAATGAGCCCAAACTCGAAAATTTTACTAGTATATATATAAATATATAAAATATATAAAAAAATATATATTGTAATTCTAAATTTCGAATATTGTAATTCTAAATTTTCGAATTTTGTAATAAGGCATTGCATGTGGAGTAGTCCTACTGAGGATACCACGATAAAAATACTCGCCACTTACTCTACCTCATGGTGGTGTTGAAATGAGTTTTGTTGCCTAAAACCCATGTTGAGTCGACTTTGTAGATATCGTACGTGAAAATTACTCACTTTACAAAACAAAAGTTAATACATAAATTATAGGAAATTTTGTCTAGTTTAATTTATTACCTAATAGTTCATCTTGAAATAATTATAACAGGATATATAGTCAAAAAACTATTTTTAGGCGCCAGTTTTCCAATATGGCGGCGCGAGTGGCAAAAATACGAAGGTGGCAAAGTAGAAATTTGGCAAAAGAAAGCAATCATCAATTAATCATTTTCAAAGCTCCCGGAAAACTTTCCAGGTAAAACTACCAAATGATTGTACTAAGAGGCAATAATAAGTTTAAATATTGTAAGATTAGACCCGAACAAACATACATACAAACATTGCGAGTCAAGTAAAAGCTTGTAAAATTATTCAGCAAATTCTCTCCAAAACTACTAAGCCAAGCCTAGAACGGGTTTTGCGACAGGACCGCATTGAGAGGGTCTAAACTTCTAAAAGCTACAGGAAGTTTAAATGAAAGACCTATGATTTTGATGCTAGAGTTAAATAAGTTTCTTTTTATATGTTGGGACATTTACACTCTGCACCATCTAGTTCCATGGTAAGCTACTATAATTGTGTTATGGATACCAGATAACGGATACACTACACATATATAACTTTAAATACATACATATTATAAATGTAAACATAAACACCAATGACTGGAGTACAAACATTCGTGCTCATCCCACAAATGAATGCCCCCAGCGGGAATCGAACCCGCGACTGCTGACACAAAAAATAGGGTCACTGCAAACTGAGCCAAACTTGCCGTCGGAAGAAGGAGTTATTCTTGATACACATAAATCAACTTGCGTATCTCCTGGCAACAATCTATATATAAAACCAAGTCAGGTTTGTTACAACGCTTATAACTCGAGAACTGCTGGACCGATTTTTGTTTTGTTGGATTTGTCTTCACCCCGAATAGCAGAATAACTATAAAAACATCGGAAAATTCAGGAAAAAATAATTGAACAAAATCTATACATATAATAAAATTGTAAGTAAGTCGAATCTGTACATTAAATATTTTTTGGAAAATCTAATTGAAATAGACATTATTATCGATACAGAATTTTTGTCTGTATGTCTGTCTGTCTGTCTGTTACCGCATCACAGAAAAACTACTGGACGGATTTTGATGTTTGGTATGGTCGTAGCTGATTATCCGGGTCAACATATAGGATATTTTTACCGCGGGAAAATGTCTCATTTCTGAGAAAAAATACAAAAACTGAATTTTAAGAGTATACTAATATGTAAAACCTAAGAATTTGGTTTTTGGTCATCTGAACACGGGCGGAGCCGCGGGCAATGCTTGTCTATTATATAAGCGTTAAAGCGTACCTAGGGACGAACGAACCTGAAGCAAGAGTGAGTCGCTAGTTTTATAATATTTTTACTAGTGAGTTATCATCGCTTCGCTCGGGCGCGCCTCAAGGGGTTTAACAGTAGCCTATACGTTACTCCAGGTGACCTGTGTACTAAATTTAATCAAAATATTTCAAGGCATTTCCACATGAAGATTTAATAACACGCATATTAACTTTCGCATCTATAATACGTAGTACGACAATAATAATTAATCTATACATATACCTAGTAAAATTCTGAGTCGATTTTGTACATTAAACAATTTTTGGAAAATCTTATTAAAATAGTCATTATTATCGATACGGAGGCCGAATCTTTAGTTTTTAGAATTTGTGTCTATCTGTATGTCTGTCTGTCTGTCTGTCTGCGAATGCATCCCGGAAAAATCACTGGACAGATTTTGATGAAATTTGATATAATTATAGCTGGTTATCCGGGTTAATATATAGGAAACTTTTTACTGCACAAATATATCTCATCGCTGACAAATCTATACTAATCTTTAAAACGTAACTAGGATCGAACCCGAGTGGAGTGAGGACGAGTCGCTAGTCTAATATCAAAATTGCTATCTCTAATTATCAACTTTGTGTAGAAAATACAAAATTGAACATTCGCTAGAGTAATTTTATATATATTATTTACTTCCTAACATTAGCAGCCAGACGCAATAAGCCTAGTGGGCTTGTGGAGGCTTCCCTATCTCCCCTCTGAATATTTAATATACACGTACGCATTTTATCTGCGTGTTTATCTTTGTTGGGTTTACGTCAAAACATGATTATTTAAGCGCTTTAAATATATTCTATCAAGACAGATATTATTTTAATACTGTAGCGACTCGTCTCTAGGTACGTTTTAACGCTTAGTATGGAATAAAGGGATTGTACACATAGGTATGATGAATTTTATTCCCCATACATGAAAAATAATTTTAATTTTAAAAATTTCCACACACCCTTTCAACCTCTATCCTATTTCCTTCTCGGTGTCTCAAACTATCTCTATACCAAATTCCATGTAAATCGGTTCAATAAATTAACAAGCAAACAGATAGACAGAGTCACTTTCGCATTTATAATATTAGTATGTATATTGAAATTATATGAGTATATTTACAAATATATTGTTTCGCCTTGCTTATTAAAATATTATATGTGTTACAGTCAGAACTCTTTCGTGGTCAAAACTACTTTTGACTTACAAAAGCAGTCAAAAGTTGTTTTGACTGCAGGCCTTGGTCAATAGCAGTTTGACTGGCATATCGGTCAAAACCGTTTTAACATAACCTAGACTCACTCACTGTTTGAACCTAACCTAGAAAGAAAGAAAGATTTTATTATATGTATATATCTATACATATAATAAAATTCTAACTAAGCCGAATCTGTACAGTGAATATTTTTTTCGAAAATCTAATTGAAATAAACATTATTATCGATACAGAAGCCAAATCTATAGTTTTTAGTCTGTCTGTCTGTTACCGCATCACAAGAAAACCTCTTGACAGATTTTGATAAAATTTGGTATGATGATAGCTGGTTATCCGGGTAAACATGTAGGATACTTTTTCCGCGGGAAAATGTCTCATTTCTAAGAAAAAATACAAAAACTGCAACGTAAGGGTATACTAATATGTAAAACCTAAGAATCTAGTTTTTGGTAACCAAAAGTCCACCACGCTGGCCAAGTTCGGGCGGACTGAGCATGTCTTTCGAAAACTTCCTAGGTTTTCTCATACATGCAGGTTTTCTCACGATATTTTCCTTCACCGTAAGACTCCATAATAACCGTTTAAAATGTACCTAAGAACGAGCCCGAGCGAAGCGAGGGTGAGCCGCTAGTTTATTACTGTTTTGACTATATGATATTTGAAATAATTTATTGAAAGAAAATTCAATTCAAAACAGGATATTAATAAATATAACGCTACACTAAATTTAAATTCACTTTTAAAGCAATTATTTCATAATTAGCGGTAAAATTTCTTCTTGGAAAACTATGTATAAAATATATACCTGCTATTTCAAAAAAAATTATGTAAATAGATGCACAAAATACGACTGGTACGATGTACATCATGTATGTACGATGTACATACATGTGTTGTAGGGGGTAATCTCTGGATCTACTAAACCGATTTAGAAGAAATTTGGTAAGAAGATAGTTTGAGACCCCTGGAAGGACATAGGATACTTTTTATCCCGGAAATTATCTATTAAGGGGGTGAAAATGGGAATGACATTTTGTATGGGGAATCCATCTAGGCACGAATTTATTGAGTCGCTAGAACACTATAAAACACCCGAATCAAATAGCTCCTCTATTTCTGAAGTTGGTTAAAAAGGATGGTAATACTGGTTTGCATTGATTAGAATGCTTTTTTAACTTTCAATCAAAAGCTAGTGGCATTATAAGCTTAAAACTTTTGTCTATATGCCAGTTTGTTTTGGTACGAGTAAATACACGGTTAAATAAACAAAATAAGAATTATAATTAAAATTAAGAAAATTAAGCTTTCATACGAGACGTCTTGTTCCATACAATACTCGTATAGGTATTTGTAATCTTCAAGGACACATGAAACTACTATAGCTTTCCTCAAACATCCTAATTCTCCTAATTTGATTTTGATGAAATTTGGTATGATGATAGCGGTTTATCCGGGTCAACATATAGGATACTTTTTACAGCGGAAAAATATGGCATCTCTGAGAAATCTATACTAAGCGTTAAAACGTAAGTTGGTTGAAATTGGGCGAGTCGCTAGTTGAATTTATACATGTAGATATTTATTAAAATATTTTAAATTATTGTAAACTATACTTGGAACAAAGCGAGTGAGCTGAAACTAGGTCGTTGAAATTCCTGGAATAGGGTAACAGAAATCAATAGCGATGAAAATGTTGTACGAAAACCGTGATTTGATTTAACTATGCCCATGATAAGTTATTTTAATCAAAATATATGAATTATCATTTACTATTTCGTTATTTGATATAAACACCAACTACACCTTTATACAAGATATTTATATTTCAATTTTTAATCATAGTCTTTTCATTCTCTAATATATTTTTATAAACTAAATTAAATTAATAAATTAAAAAAAAACTCTGACCATCTTGAATCGATTTTCATCAAACATAGCTAAGAAAACTCCCGACTAATTCCACTTTTAGACAAAAAAAAAACAAAATCAAAATCGGTCCATCCGTTCGGGAGCTACGATACCACAGACAGACACCCCGTAATTATTGCGTCGGGGTTTGAAAAACGATGAATTTATGAGCAGTATTATATTTAGATGCAAAGGCGTTTTAAGCGAAAAATCAACACACGACCTCATATCATACAAACAAAGTTGACATATTGACCTATTTATAGAAGTGAAGCTCGAAATGCGAACCAAAACTCCATATAAACAGACATTCATATACAAAAGATAAAAATACAATAGGAGTGCACCAAAATAAACCAGATTACCTGACGCAGTAGTGGTGGCCACAGTGGTTATCGATAACGTAGTCGTTGTCGTTGTGGGTGTATCATTCGATGTTGTCGCCGCATTCGTCATTTCCACGATCCGATCGACGGCTATTCGATTCCCGGGTAGCACACCGGATTCAGGCTGTGACTCCTCAACCACTTCCGTCTCCTCAACTTGAGGACTAGGAGCTGTCTGGCTCAAATCGTTAGCCACAATAACGTTCACTGTCGTCAGAGATTCCATATCCGAATTTTCACCTTGCACCTGTGAATTATCTATATACACAGCTGCTGATCGCGCACCTAGCGTCTCCATCACACTCTCCGCTAACGAGCGAGTCGACAGCTCATCCATATCAATATCCTGCTTGATATCGATAATGATCTGGTGCCGCTTGCCGCTACCAGACGGGCTTTGGACCTGGTGCACGCTGACCTGCGCCTCAGTCTGAGACATGTGGTGCTGAATGACATGCGTCAGCTCGATGTCTCGATTGCCCGCCATCATCGATACTTAACAGAACTATCAAACTTATATATCAGTCGTAGTATCGGTTAAGCCTATTCTTATAATAATGAACACAGTTATCACATACGCGCTCCGCTGGTAGTCGTCAACATAGCGACCGCAGTGCAGAGCGCAGATGCATCGAAAGTGGGTCAGAGGTCATCATCCTAATTTTTATATATATTGTGCGTTATTGGCAGTGATTGTTGGAGGCACGGTGTTACATTGTCCGGCTGTAAGTATGTTGGTTACGCGAGGACACATTGACACAGTGTCCTATATCTTGGGAACGCGGACCGCGGACGCGGCCGTCGCTCGTAGCCGCTGTGAGGCCTACGAGGCGTAGCGCTACGGCGCAGCGTAGGGTCCCGGTGAACGCTTCCGTGATACTGTCCGAGAATACGTCCTGAGATATCAGCTTGTAGATGTGTTATGTATTTATTTAAGCTCCGCTTGTCTTTTTTTGTCTCTTTCTGCAATTTACTGTTTAATTTTTTCGAAATAAATTGAATTAAAGTAATTGTTGTTTGAAATATAAAAATTTATAAGTCGACTAATTATTAAAAGAATTCACTTGAGTATATTTTTAAATTTTATATCATGATATTAAAAAATAAAAAAAAATCACCACACATCATAAAATTTCAATGTCAAGAGTATCTTCAGTCAAAACAAAAATCACGATCAAACTTTTTCCATACACACAAAATACAATACTATCCTATCATTTCCATATCTCACGACGTATCCCTACGAAGTCTGCACATCTTAACTCACATTCAACGACACGTGCATACGCATGCGCAGAATCCTATATCGTTCTATCCCTTTTTCGCCTCAGCCCGTCCTTTTCTGTCCTTCGATCGTTCGGGAATGACGAAAAAGCATATAATCGAATTTATGTCGGTTCCCGGGGCCCGGCGTGTCAGGTAACGACGCCAAAAAAAAAGTTTTTTGTTTTACCTTTGATCGTTTTACTTAGGGCTCTTGTGTTGGAAAGTTAATCAAGTTATGAAAGCAGTTTTTATCAGTAAGCTAGTTTTCTTTAAACAAGTAAACAGAAAAATAAGCCTTGTGTAACATTGATGTTATTGAATCAAATAGAATATTGTTTGTTTGAATATTTAAGTATATACACTAGTGTTTCGCTGCGGCTCCGCGTATTTTATTTATGTATAAATTGCTCTGCTTTGAGTTTCACATTATCCCCCAATTTTCATCCCCAGAGGAAGATTTATCTTTATTTTTTAATCAAAAAAGTTATTTTAAATTTTCGTGGCTATGAAAAATAACAAATTTTTATACAAACTTCCAACTTCTTTTTAATCTTTTTAATGACAGAATTTCCAAAAATCCTTTCTTAGCGGATATCTACTCCCTATTATATACCTTAGTTTCAAGATCGTATTTTGTAAAAAAACACCTGTATTGATTGTATTGTATTGGATTGATTGTATTGGATTGTATTGTATATTGTCTCTATGTACGTTTTTACGGTTATTATGAAATAAATTTACTATATATCTATATATAACTAGCAGTACCCGCGGCTTCGCCCGCGTTCAAACTTCCGATCGTTAACAAAATTCACAGAATCACCCGCTGGGCTAATCTGAAGATTATCAGAAAATTTCATCAAAATCACTCCAGGTTTTTTGGAGTCCATAGGAAACATACATCGATTTTTATTTTATTTAATCAACAATTTAAATTTATTTATTTATCGGAAAATGGAGTATCTTATGAAAACTTAGTGACACACCGACTGCAGCGCCACCTATTGAATCCATTTGTATTTTCAAACCTTGTAGGGACCCACACGAATATACACAAAAAAATATCATTAATATCGTCCCTGCCGTTCAGGAGATGATCAGTGGCACAACGACTGCAGCGCCACCTACCGGGTTTTATTGTGTTTTCAAACCATCCAGGAGTCCTTTGAAGTATACACACAAAATTTCATCCAAATCGGTCTAACCCTTTAGGAGGAGTAGGTAAACAAACACACTTACTGAAGAATTATATACATATATTAAGATAGACCTTGCGACTAGTTTACATAAAAAATGTGAAACTCAATACAGTTTGTAAAATCAACAAACACACTAGCTCGAAAATTTTCGTATTTAACTACTAAACGACATCGCATCGCTCGAATGAGTCTTAAGCTATCCTACAGTAGCCTACCAGTATATTATGTTACTCAATGTCATAATCTATCTGTGGACAAAATTCCATTCTAATCTGTCCAGCCGTTTCAAAGAGCAACAAACATACTTCATATAAGTAATGCGATGTGAGCTTTCGTGCTTTTTTTGTACTTTTCTGCTGACCATCCTTTACTCATTACGTAACAGTGTGATCTAAGCTCAAAACAAGGAAACCTGAAGTAAACACGGCCTATTTACTGCCTTTCCCTTTCACTCTATATCAAATATATTTTTTCAATGCATTCGTGATGTGTCGTCATTCTTATATACAGTTGGAAAATTAGCTATCAAAGAAGTACTGTGTAAGCTTAAATTTTTCTTTTATACTTTCTTTTCGACTTTGTTTTATGCTAGATACTCAATACATAGTATAAAACAAAGTCGCTATCTGCGTCTGTCTGTTTCTTCGCTTACTTCGAAACGGATTTTAATACGGCTTTAATTAAGGAAATAACGATAAAAGACGAAGGTTTTTATATATAATATGTAAATATTTTTTTCTAAATAACTGAGCCTAGACGGAGGTTTTATCTAAAAAAAACTATTTTCATACGATTGTATGGCTAACGCTGGCTAAATCTTTAGAGATACATCAATGTACTAAATTAACCAACACAAAAGTTATGGTGGGTAAAATCCTATGCTATATCTAAAATGGCCGCGTCGAATTAAGACATTAATAGTCAGTAACTTTTAATAGAATGTTCGACTTTATATATCTGTGAATGTTTTGTTGGAGGGTCGATCGTTACGCTCTCTTATATACTCGACACTCGTACACCTAGCTTCATTCAAATCTGCTCAGAGACAGGTATACATTTTACAGTGTTTTTTATAATACCAATATTATTTTTAAGTTTTTGAATATATTTACTGAAAATATCATACGAATTAATTTACTTAGGGACATATTTTATGTACCTAAATATTGTTACAAACCTTTGTGTGTATGTAGCGATTTGGGTAATTCTTTAAATTGACATAACTTTTTTATATATGAACCGATTGAAATAAAACAAATGCTAAATGATAAGTGAAGCTTACCACAATATATTAGTGAAAACCGCACCCAAATCGGTTAAGCCGTATCTGAGTTTAGTGCGCACAATGGCACAGACCAAAATTCTAAAAATCATTGTTTTAGATTCTATTGCGTTAATAAAGACCCTCAATAATAGTTTTTATCAAATATCCCTTATGTACAGACAGCGATCAATTACACTTTTATTATATATATATATATATATATATATATAGATATATATATAGATATAGATATATATATATATATATATATATATATATATATATGGATGTTATTAAATCATTTCAAACTGTTTTACATTAGAAATCTCCTCACATTAACTTTAATTTTGACCCACTTCAATTTAGACCGTCAAGTCGTCTTATTCCTGTATATTTTTATATAAAATTAAAAAAAACACATTCAAATGATTAAATTATTATTTTTAAGTGATTTTTAAAGTCGGTTAGTCGGTATTGCTTTCTCACTAAAAATTATTTTCATAATTATTATACTTCAGCAACTCTTATATAAAATTTAATTCAATTTCGTTCTAATAAGATTCGTGCTATACAATATAGGTATGCTACAATACATATTTCAAGAGGGAGTGTCTACGCACTGTTTTCGTCCCTCACAACGATATTACAAAATGCTTACGTCACGAAAATTTACGAAATTTTGCATTTCACCGTTTTTGTACTTAGTTTAATCGCAATCATTTTTGTGTACATTTAATGTAACGTTATATATAACATGTTAAAATATGTAATCGATCCCTATAAAAAAATAAAATTTGGTAAATTTTGTAAAATATTTATATAAATATAATAATATTAAATAAATTTTTATTTATATTCAGCTCTTTTTAATGTCCTACGGCTGGCCACGAACCTCTCTCTCTCTCCCTCTCAATACGAGGAGGATCAGGCCATAGTCCACCATATTAGCCGGACTGAATACAAATAAAAATTTACACTGTGTAAAAATCGAATTCTCTACTTCCGGCCTAGCATCAGATACTTTACTTAGGTACATATATGTACAAAATTGAAGCTTATATAGTGGAAACACTATCCGTTATACTATAAAATGTGCATGGTGATAAAAACTCTCTAATTTCACCTAATAATTTTCCCCTGCTTTTCATAGAACAGCTCGAAGGGGTGTTCTCAACAAAACATAGCTGTATGAATGATAGGCGTATACTATTCGCTTTGAAAGCCTCAAGGCCGCACAGCTTATGTAGAATTTTAGGTCTCCGTTTTGTAAAGATATCTCGACCTTATCCTACTTTGAAAATGCATCAGTTTGTTAGTTCATATGTAGTTCACGATATATAAGGAGTATATAAATTATTATTATTCTATAATATATAAGTATAATATGTATGTATGTAAGTCATATCTTTTACAAGTAATACTAAGAAGAAAAAAAATTGTACTGAATAGACTGTAGCAGTATGTAATTTCCATAAGAATAATGTAAAAATGTAAATTTTATAAAATAATTTTACATTTAAATATAAAAAAGTATATATTATTTTATATACAGATAAAAAAATTACTTCAAATAAAAATATACGAAACAAGTTGAGTCGCTAAAAAAAGAAAAAGCAAGCACCACTTAAGATGTAAAAATTACAAATCATCAATGGACAAACGCAGTATAATAATTTCATATTTAAAGCTTTTCATTTAATACTTTCTTAGATTTACGCGAATATTTGACATTTTAAATAAATATTTTTTTCCATGGTA